TCATAGCCTCTTCTTCTCCTTCTCCTCCTCCCCGCCTATTTCTCTCTCCCTCGTTCGTCTTCCGCGTATATATTACATCTGTTCTTTATAGTTCAATTGGCTGCACGAGTTCAGGGACAATCATCTCCTTTTACATTGGAAGGCGAAAGATGAACTCTGAACTGCAGCCAGTTCAACTATAAAGAGCAAACTCCCCCTCCCCCCTCTCTCTCTCTCCTCTTTTGCCGGTTACACGTTTGCCGTAAAAAATCGATGAGGAAAAATCGAGCCTGGCGCCCATCGCCATCCTCCGAAAGTCCCCGATTACACGCGGCCTCCCAACACGAACGGTTCGAGTCTTCCTGCGAAACGCGCTCCCGGAATCTCTTGTTTGTACCACGCGATCGCGTTTTACGGGAAGAAATATTCTCTCTCTCTCTCTCTCTCTCTCTCTCTCTCTCTCTCTCTCTCTCTCTCTCTCTCTTCTTCTTCTTCTTCTTCTTCTTCTTCTTCCTCTTTTTAACAATAGAAGCTACAATTCTCGTCCACGCAGCCGATATTTACATTTGTTGGCCGTTTCAGCCAGTGAGGAAGGTTTCAGCTCGCTGCCACACAATCACAGCGGTAGTGGGGATGGTTCTCGTGTCTCCCCGTGCTGCTCGACGCAACCAGCGCGAGCTGCATGGGAGCCATCCTCACCACATTCCCCACCGCTGTGGCTGCGTGGCAGCAACCTGAAACCTGCATCACTGACTGCCAACCAGAATTTACATTTGTTGTCCCGCGTCTCCGCGACGACAGATACGCACGCTTTCACCTAGCCTCCCCTCTCCTTCTCCTTCTCCGTCTCCCTGTCTTTCACCGGACGGCAGTGTTTAATTCGTTTCCTTCTCGCCCCGAGGATCTACCATGGACTCCGCGACCGTGGACGATTTTACCGACCCTGAACCCGCGCACCGTCAAGCGTCACCGCTTTCGATCGCGCGTTGACTCTCGACACTGCTCGGTGACTGGCTTGAAGACCCGAATACGATTGACCGAGATCGCGTCCCGAGACGTCTCTCCTCACCTTTCCGAAGCCGTTTCGAAGAAACGATCGGGCTATAAACCGACTCGCCAGCCCTGCAATCGCTATTTCTCGGCAGCACCGCGTACGCGATAACGAAAAAGCACCCGCGAAAAGTAACAATCAACGTATAAAAAAGATAACTTAGTTTTCAAAAAAAAAAAACATCGACGCTTTTTATTAATGTGTGGCGTTTAAAATAATGCGATATAATACAGACGGTTCTGTATCACAAAAAGGAGCCGATTTGTCTGTCGCAAATCGAATCGGAAGCTGTGCGAACGGGTGGATACGCATATAGGTTCGACCCTATCCGATCAGATCAAGAATTCACGTATCAGAATAGAGAGCTCCCGGCTCGACAGCCTCGATAAAAATTGGCCCGTCGAATTTTCGTGCGATTCAGAATGAGATTGCGTAGTGTATACATACGCACACGTTTTGTCATTTAAAGTATCTTGGGCTCCCGTTCAATTCAGAGTGAGATTGTGTAGAGGACACACACACACACGTTTTAACGCTTCAAGGACTCTTGCGGCGTCACTCGGAAACCGTCCCCTTCAAAGATTCACGCTTGATGCTGGAAAGACAAAGACAACAAACTTAAGCAGTAAGATTTAAAACTTGAGAATTTCAACCAATCGAAATCGTTTCAGTGCTGCTCAAGTTTCAAACTGGCTGCTTACGTTCTCGACAGTCATTGGTCATTTCCCTTAAGTCTTAAGCTTTGCTGTTTCAGTTTTCTCGTGCGTTCGGGCCTTTACTGCTCAAGTTTCTTCGTGTGTTTCCAGTTTGACCAACGCGCTACTTGATGTCTTCAGGGGACGGCTTCGGGCACGGGCTCGTCAACAACACGCGAGGCAACACTGGAATTAACATCTTGGCGCGCCAAGACGTTAAGCGGTACCGTCCCGCGTGTTGTTGCCGAACCCGCGGAAGAATTAGGAACGAGAATCGAGAAGTGGAGGAAAACAAAAAAAAGACACAACGTGACTGCGGAAGGATCGCGTTCACCCTTCATACCCTGCGATTTAACATCGTCTCAGCTCCTCGTACCGTCGCGTGAAATTAAATGCCAGCATCCCGTTTTCTCCTTCGTCGAGTCTCGCGTTCAAGACACGGGATCCGCCGTCGCCGCTCGCGACGACGGCGAACCGAATTTCGAGAGCTATTAAAAATAGAAAAAGAATTAATGAAAAGGAAGCAAAAACGATCTCCGGGCGATTCGCAACTCGTACGCACGCAAGTCGAACCGCGAAGGCGAACGGAAAACGAGTTGCCGAACTCTCTTCCTTCGCGCCTGTTTATCCCAGGATTATCGATCTTCTCTTTCTCGAGCCCGGTCGCGCGCGATGCCGAGAAGGAACGGGGGGGAAAGAAAGAAAAGAAAGGGACCAGTCTCGCACACATTCGAGAATTTACATCCGACAAGCGCTCGCGTCTGCCTCCGTCGCGTCTGTATATTCCCTCGATAATTTTCGACGTCAAAATCAGACCCGGACCGTCGCCACGCACGATTGTGACGCGTGTTGTCAGCTGCTATAAATACCGTTCGAGGATTTCATCTTACAAAACTATAGATACGAAGCGGAGCGATCGAAAAGATCGAAATCACGCGTTTTGATATCGGTCTCTCTCCCTCTCTCTCTCTCTGCCGATTTTGCGCTTTCTATTCTTCTCTACTCATTCGCACGTCCCACAATCACACCCGTCTCTCGCAAACTCTCGTCCTTACCCTAAGATCTAATCGCCTACCGAGGAAAGCAATTGACGTAAAAGGAGAAAAGCGTACATGGACACGTTGCAAGGATTATTGCAAGTTATCAAGAAACTTAAAAGAAAAAAAAAAGAACGTTATTTAAAACACTACGTCAAAGAATTTTGTTCAGTCTGCGGCGTGAAACGATTTTGCTTAGAAGAAAAAAGAAAAAAAAGGAAAAATAAACGAAGAAAGATAACACACGCAAGAATTTCAAAGTATGAAAAATCTAAACCTGACGAAACCACGCTGTCGATTTGATTGTGCACTATCACAAATCGATCGTATTCTCCACGCTATTATATCGTTAAGGCCTTAACTTATTACTACCATGATTATTTATTTACCCTTAAATATTATTGTTATCGTTATCATAATTATATAGTAAGTCCATTTACTGTGTCCGGTATATAGATAGAAGTGGTGCGAGTTTGATATGACAATTGCGCCCGTAAATCATTGCATATAACGAAAAAAAAACTTCCCCCTTCTGTCGGCACGAAGAAAAGACCTCCAGAAACTCGCACGACGGACAACTCTCTTCAAGGACGGGTCGAGTTAACATCTGTTATCGTTAACAGTTGTTCCTGCTTTAATCTATCTTGCTCTCACAATCAGTCCGTTCTAGCCCCCCCCCCCCCCACCCCACCCCTCATTGGAGACGCAACCATGGTTATCGCCCGTTTAAACGTCACTATCAAATCCTGTCTCTCTCTACTACGATTGCGTTCCAAGAGAGGGCAGATAATCCGCCATTAATTGATCAGGACAATCGCGACGCTAATATTCTCTTCCCTCTTAAAAACCTTCGTCCTCGATGTCCGTGTCTAAATGAATAAACTGGAATATATTAGTACTCGAATTTTTCAAAAATAACAGTCATCACGACAACCAATGGGGCGATTGAAATTACTACGAATCGAAATTACAAACGAGAGACTTTGCGTTTGTAAACGTTTCGTTTGCAATGGACTGGCCACGCGTCTTCTCTCCCTGTTTCTCTATTCGTTTATCTACCTCTCTCTCTCTCTCTCTCTGCCCTCTATCGTAAAAACAAATCTGAAATTTACATGCAATTCATCGGTGATTTTGTCGAAACATCGCCGGGAATCGGGAGCCCGAGAAGGTGCGGTCGTAACGTCGATTCTCACCTCTCAGATTTTTCCCGATCCCTCCCCTATCTCTTGCTCATCACGTTCAATTAACCCACTCGCGTAACACGCATTGAAATTAGAAAAAAAAAGGAAAAACTTACACCTTATACACTTATCTCATGTAAAGAGTAACGGATAGCAGAGAGTAGCGGCATAGCAAGAAAATAAAAGTATCCCCAACAAAAAGGAAAAAAAAATGAAAAGAAAACGGAAATTAAAAAAAAAGAGCTACCTGAAATAAATCTCTCATACGAAGCCCCCTTTTACGATCCGCAATACAATACCAAAAGTGATAAAGGGTCCGCGAAAGAAACTGTTAATAAAGAAGTATACTGATAACGTAATCATTAGTCGGGCGGCTATTAAACAAACTGTCCAGCATATCCGTGCTACGAATCGGCAGACTGCGTCGCCGTTCGCGTTCAATGTTGACGATTAGAGCACGAGGGGATAATAAAAGCGCGTGGAACATTGGAACACCGGATGCCTCGCGAACAGCGCGAGCTTTAAAAAATCGCCTTGGAAAGAGCGTCCGCGAAAAATCATCGGACGCCGTTGCTTCTATCTTTCTTTCTCTCTCTTTTCCACGCGTCGATATTGAAGTCTATCGTTTGACAAAATCGCAAAGCGCATCTTCGCTTGTCCGCGCTTGTCATCTCGTCAGACTGAGGATGATACTCTTAGCTCTTTTTTTCCTCTGTGTTTTCCGGATGTTGTATAGACAATATGTATATATGTACGTGGGGCTTCCCTTGTGTTCCTCTTTGTAAGTTTAGCGGTATACGATAATCTAAAATACAGTATTACTTACATTTTGTCACAATGGCGCGTGATGGGAGTTCCAGAACGCATATATGTACATATATAATGTATCTCTCGCGTGTACACATCGATCGCGGCACCGGTACGCACCGATGCGCTGCGTCGTTACCCCCCCGCGGTGCATAGTCTATGTAAGGTTTCAAAGTTTGTATGCTGGATGCATCTTAGCGTAAAGAACGGATTACGGGACATCCACTCGCGCGATAAAATCGAAAACCCGTGTGTATAAGAACCGCACACGGTGTCACCATCATCGTCGTCATTGCAATCTTCACATGCATTCTCATCGCCGTCGCTATCATCGTCCCTTCTTAATCCCGCAGTCCGCCTGGCCGATGATTTTTTTTTGTCGACGACGATTCCCTACCGTACCTGATTCCCTGAAAGCTGCCGACGGCCGCCTCTCTCTCCTCGCGCGTTGCTGGCGTATGCGTTATTGGTCTTCGGGTATCAGGCCTGGACGTTCAACACTATACGCAGTTGCCTCGTGTACTCGCTGCTCGCGCTGTTCAACTGGCGGCAGCCGTTCACCAATCTGCTCGCCGTCCAACGACTCGGCGGCTTGGGCACGCTCGCAGGTGATGGCGTTTCCGAGAACTTTGCGCCCGCGTAGAAATTGTTGGTCGGGCTGCTGCTCGGACTGTACTGCTCGCAACGCTGTTGCTGCTGTTGCTGCTGCTGCTGCTGCTGCTGCTGCTGTTGCGGCTGCTGTTGTTGCCGTTGCTGCTGCAGCTGCTGTTGTTGTTGTTGGGGTTGCAGCTGCTGCTGTTGCGGCTGTTGTTGCGGCGAGTTTCTCGCGCTCTTGGACGATGGGCTGTACGGACTGCAGCTCTGCCGGCCGTCTTTAGCATTTCTGACCGTGTGCCGGCCGTTCTTGTATAAGAACGGTGACGATTTACTGTTGGAACGATTATGATGGTGGTTGTGCTGGGGTTGATACCCGACCTTCGGCGAGGCCTGCCGATCCACCTTGGCGTTGTCTAACTTGGGCGCGGAGTTCGTCATGGCTCGGATGTTTGTCTACCTATCTCTTTTTCTCTCTCTCACTCTCTCTCTCTTTCTCTCTCTCTCTCTCTCTCTCTCTCTCTCTCTGTCGCACTGCACCTCCTCACTTAGCCAACTCGTCGGCCTGCAACACAAAGCAGTCCTTCAGGGTATTCCTAACATTTGTCCCTCTTTTTTTCTACGTAGACACCTCTACCTGGTATCTCTAAATATTACTTTGCATCTACAGTGTTGTATTTTTTCTCCCTCGGAAAGAGGAAACGCTACTTTCTTTGTGTTCGGAACAAGAAAGTGATCCTTTCTTTGTTTGAAAAGAAAGACGAGAATATGCATTGTCTGTCACGGTACTTGAAATCGGTTAAATACTTATTGCAAAGAATAACTTCAGTAGACTGTAAAAGGTTTACATTTTCCTCGTCTTGCCGCTATAAATTATTTTATTTATTTAGTCGATCTCTCCTCGGCAAAAATGCGAAAATAATCATTCATCGTAGCTGTCCGTACTTGGCGCGCGTCATATAAATAATTATATCTACAAATAAAAATTCTCTCGAAATAAATTGTATTTGAGAAAATGTGAAAACTGACGTTTCTTTGCTGAGGAGAAAAATTGACACGGACCACATTCCGCGTAAAATTTGTATTCAAGTTTTGAAACACAATCTGTATACAGAATCGTACAAGCATGACACTCAATGCCGTGCGTATTATGTGTTCACAATGCCACGTACTCTCGTCGAAATAAAAACTGAAAAGTGATCTGTCAATTCGTAAATGGCGCAAAAATGTTGAAGCCACAGGGAGCAGATTTCGTTGCAATTTAGTATAAAAGAAAAACAACATTCTCATTAACATACCGGTACAGTTACTTCACGCCGCTCGCCAACATTTTGCGCCGCGCGAAATGAAATATTTATTGTCGCGTTATATCGCGACACGTTCCAAAAGAATGCAGCGCAAAGGAGCTAACTGAACATGTAACGCGCGCATTTGCATAACAAGCTCGGAGGATTCCTCGACTGCCTGCGCATTTTTTTTTCAATTTTATAGAGAAAATAAACCTGGTGCTTTTTCAAGCCAGGATAAAATTTATGCTCAAATTATGTCTTTATGTTGAGTCATTAACTCGTGATATGCAACGCACGAAAGACCTTCAGCATGCTTGAAATTTGCAATATTTAAAACCGGAGATTCCGACTGTGAATATCATCACATATCAACGAGAAGACGCCCAAAAGAGACATTTGTATACTTTCTATCGTACTTTCACCGTCAAATATTTCCTTCTGGGAGACAGATTTATCTGCCACGTTGAGAGAGCCATCTTTTTTTACCGATAACGTCAAATGTAGCTTGAGCTTGTAATTCTTTTGATTGGCTTTTATGCACAAAATAATACCTGGATAAGTTGCAGACCGCATAGCAGAACATTTTCATACTCAAAACATTGAGTTCAGAAGTCTAACAAAAACATTGTGAAATCTTTAATTCGTAGTTTGTGTTAAATTCGAAATTTTAAATTGAGGCCAACCTCAATCACATAAATATAAAGTGATATTAAACATTTTTTTTCGTTTTTATATAAAGTCGACTATTCCTGGTTTTGTCTTCGTGCGACTTTAATCGTGCGGAAGAATGTTGCAATTTTATAATGCCAGTTTCGAATTTAGCACCAACTACGAACTGAAAATTTCAAATACTAATAAATTACAAGGGCAAAAACTATATTTCATGTGATCCATTTTGTTCTTCTACCTGGCAAGGCTCTCAGGATGATCTATGGAGTCAGTGACCGTTACAGGTAAGATTAAACACTGGGATTTCCACGTCTTTGTTCGAGAAATCATTGTGAAGAAAAGTATTGAAAGCGCTCTCGGCACAAGTTAGTCACAGGCTCTCATAAACCAACCTTACTTTTCAGAGATCCTCACTGAAAGAAGCTACTGACGAACAACATTCTAAAAGTGGCACAAAGGTGCACGAACTTTCTCAATGTTGCAAAATTCCATTCCGACAGTTCGAAAGCGAAACGTAAGAAAAAGGTGAACGGATGTAATGCATTAACGTGATAAAGTATTTGGCAAGAAATGGCAAATAACATTCCCGGTGCTCGGCCTTTGTCCCTCGACTTGAAGCCGACGACGAACGACGCCAAACGAGCGGAAAGACGGCGATAAACGCGCGTTTTTGCGACGAAGGGCGAGAAAGTAGGAACGAAAAGGTGTTCTTACCAGTAAACGTTTGCTGGCCGCCTCTCGTGGACGATGCGCCGCGTCCCTGCCCAACAATTTTTCCAACTGCGCAATAATCACAGTATCCAGGGCAGCGCGGTAGTGGGGACGACGACGGTGACGACGCGGTGGGATAAGCGCGGCGGGGCACCCCGGGGGAGCTGTTCGCGCGATGCTACCTCGCCTCGTGCTCCTCTTCTCTCGCTGTCCTCCCAGTACGCGTTCCTCGCAAATTCGACCACATTCGGTGACCGTTAGCCACCCTAGTACCTCGCTATCCTTCCGCCCGCGGCCGCTCCGCCTCGCCCCGTCCGTTCCCCGGAGCGGACAACAACGACACCTCGCTGACCAAGATGGCGGACGACGGGCCGTTCGCGTTTGTTTGGCCAGGCGTCCCGGCGTCCCCGCGTTCGGGCCGCACCTGGCCTCGCCCCGTTGCGCTCCCCGCGCGCCTTCTCCACGGGAGAACTCCCCGGGGAACACAATGATCCTCTCTCCCGCCGCGGGCGAGATCCGACGAACGTGTTAGGCGCGCACGCACCGTATGCTCGCACTCGCAGCCCCGTGCCCTCGTTACTCTCCTTCCTCGTCGTCGTCGCGGGCGTCGCGCTCCCAGTCGCCTCGTCTCTCTTCTCTGGCTTCTTTTCCAAATACAATTTCGCCCGAGCGCGCACAGTCGCACTCCGCAGTTGGTTAGTCAGGCTCGTGTTCTCCTTCTCGCCCGCATCACTCCGCACTCTGACTCCACAGACTCCTCAAACACTAATCGCGAGAAAGAGGCTCTAGCTTGTGCTTTTATAGGTTCCGCCGCTTTCTCCTGCTCGCAGGGAATCTCAGCCAACCATCGTCGAGTCGAGCGAGGGTTCGACCAATCCGTGCGCGCGTCGTTCTCCCTCTCCACTTCGGCACGACTCCATGTCGGCATGTCGCAAGGTCTGTTCTGCTTGCCCCAATGGACCGCTAGTAGGTATGGTAGGTATTTTCAGGCTGTAATCAACATCACGAGCGCTGCCATTAAAGCCTCCGCTACGATGGGTCTGTTTTTTATTGCTGCACCCCTGAACTAGTGCACACTGGTGCAATGAGTTGGAATGAGAGGTAATCTATTTGTTTCATTTTAACTTATTGCACTAGTTCAGTAGTGCAGTAATAAAGAACAGGCCTATTGATTCTCGGTTCTGTCTACAATGGTCGTAGTTAGAGCTGTCGTAGTCGTAGTCGCTCGATAAGAATTGACCAATCGCAGTCGATTATTCTTACGACTACGACCATTGTAGACAGAACCGAGAATCATTGTAGCGGAGGCTTTAGTGGCAGAATCCCAGTACTTCAATGACATTTTTATCCGTATTCATAGTCGTTCCTCAATTCTCAAGGTTAGTCTGTCTTTGTCTCGCTACTACGTTTTACCATACGCGAGACAAAGACAAACTACCCTTGAGAATTGAGGAACGACTATGAATACGGATATTTGCCACAGATTCAGGCC